TTGGGCAAAAGCTCTGGTTCCTCTTTAAGTGGTAATGCCTCATACCAACTTTCCCAAAGTAACCTGGGTGACTGGGAAGAAAAAGCAACCACCCTTGTAAACTCACTACAATTAAGAAGCTATGTTTATCATCTTTATAGTTATCTACCCCATTACAGTGTAAATTAAATTGTTCACTGGCACAGAACAGTGAATACCACACAGCAAGCACTGAATTCATTTGTCGAATTGAACAACTCTTTACAAACCAACAAAGACCATCAGGAGGAAAAGGTTAGCTCTATTTCATAGAACCAGGACAATCACTAAGGAAGAAAGAAGCAATGCCAAGAGTAAAATTCAAGTCACTTGACAGCATTCTCTGGAAAACCTACCTATACATTGCTACGATAAAGGTCTTCTAAAGAACTAGTCAAAATCTATCATTCCTTAATTTGTAGCTATAACTGACACTAACAGTTGCATAGGTCAATCTGAAGGATGTTACTAACCTGGTGACTGACTGTGCCATGAGGACCACAGCCAGTGAATAAGGTCAGCAGTTACTCTTCGAGGACTCTAGCACACTGAGGCAATAACCAATACCCAAGCGTGACTCTAGCCTCGATGGCAGTTCTCAATTCACATCAAGTGTTAACTTGGTAAAAATTAACAATAGGCAAAAGAGGCTTGCTTCCAGACTTTAGATGTTGTAAACCTGCGCCTATACCTCCCAAGCTATCAGTGTCAGTAAAGGCAGCCCAAGTATACTCACTATTTGTCAAAGTTAATCCTGTGGTGATGCATGCCACCAGCATTTCCTCGGCCTCCTGGGTGCTTCCGATGCTTGCCTGCAGGAATAAAAAGCTACATGGCTAGCATAGCCTTCTCAATACTATCTCAGCAAAACCAGAGAATATCCCCACTCCTCTGTGCCCTTGCTTATGCTGTTCCCAAGCTACAATACCTCTTTCGGTACTGCTATTCCGTCAAGACTTCGGGTTAAACATCTTTTCAGCGTTGCATGTCACAGCACTCTGCATCTTCAAATAATTCAATACTCTACCCCCCTTAATTTTTATTCCTCCACTGATAGAAAATTCTCTAAAACTGGAATACTAGAGAATCCTCTAAAAGAAAAAAAAAACCAACAGCGGCCCGAGTCAATCCACCTTTACTGCAAAAACGTCTTACTCTAATCCACTTCTAAACTACCTACATGCTGACTAGCTAAGCACCCGAAAGAGAGAGCCCTAGGCCGACCAGGAGGGGAAGCCGGCACTTACCGATGCGGCCGTGGCCGTGGCTCACGTGGCCCCGAAGCTTCCGGGTCTTCCTCAGTCTGGATGGCTGCGTGGAAAAAGGAGCTTAGTGGTAAGGCCTAAGGAAAACGGGAAAAAGGAGATGCTTGCCAGCCTGAGGTGGGCCTATAGGCCAAGGAACTACCTTCTGGCGCGTTCAGCAAAGTTGAAAATACAGACTAGCCCAGGGCCCTGTGGTTTCACTCAGGGTGGCACTCGGGCCCGCGTGGCTAAGACATCCAAACCCCGGGCCGAACACGCGGCCCCAAGGCCCCCCGCCACGTCCCGGGCCCACGCCGGCCATCCTGCCCTACAGCCGGCCCTGTGAGGCCTGGAAAGTCTGGCCAAGGCCGGGGTAGGTCGCTTGGGGGCAACTGGAGTACAGCCCGGGGCCTCGGCCGACATGGAAGCGGAGGCAACGAAAGGAACACTTACCATGGCGGCGGCTGAAACGAAAAAGGGAAGGCTTCCCGAAGTCTCGCGAGGTATGGAACGGGGGGGCGGAGCAAATTGCCTCACTTCCGGCCGGGGAGGCGGGGCTTCGGACGGGGCCTCTTTGGTCTCGCGGATTTTGTGCACCCGCGGGCCGCTTCCTCTTCCTGCTTGTAATCGTCGCTTTCATACCCGAGTGCCGGTTGCGTGGTGGCGGCCAACTCTTGTCGATACAGGCGGTTGTAACATGTTCGGAGACTGAAAACTGTTGAGAAATGCGGGGCGTGGGGTGCTGTCATGCAGGCTGCCGGGCCTTAGGTGGGCTGGGCCCTTTCCTGGCGCCTGGGCCCTGGAACTGCCTAGGCCCACCCAAAGGGTCTCGGTATCTCTCAGCTCCTCCCAAAATGCCCCAGTCCTGGGCGGTCCCAGGCACCTCCCCTGTCCTTAGTGGTCTGCTCGTTTGTCTCCCGTCCGCGGCGAAGAGCAAGAGGCACTATTTAACCCTTAGTGTGCCCACTTGGCGTCTCGCTGCTCACCGGAGCTGGCACTCCGTCTTTTGTCCTTTGCCCTTGTGCTGTCTTGGGCGGCCTCTCAAGTTTGAACAACCTGCTATGCTTCTGGGGCCTATGTGCCTGCTTGCTATATGGTCCTTTTAATCCAGACCCTGTAAATACTTTTTCTAAATGCCACATTGAAATTTTCTCCGGAATGTATTTGACACGATTGTGACCCTCTCCTGTACCAGACCACCCCTGCCTAACCTGGACCTGATTCAAGCATTTCTTACGTGAAGCTTCTCTTGACTCATGCGGTCATAGTTGCTCACTTCCCCACCTTTACTACCACACAACCTAGTACATAGATAGCTCTTACATAATAACCAGTACACATTTGTCTTCCTAACTAGACTGAATTCCTTATGGACTCAAGGATTGTTTTTTTTTTATCCATGCACTCCCAGTTCTTGGCATACATTCAATTTTCTTCACTAATAGTGGAAGAGGCATCCCTGTTGTCTTAAGTGGCTCCTTCAACCAGTGTTTGAGATCCCATCCACTCAATTCTGTGTGTCTGTATTTTTCTCTTCCTGGCTTCCTTCAGCTAAAATATATTTTGACTACAATATCCTAAATTCTCATTGTCTCTACTACCCTTGCTCTTTCCTTTACAGCTGTTTCCCAAAAGAGTAGTCTACAAATCCTGTCCGTTTGCACCTTCCCATTCATGGTTTAATTTACTGCAATCTGGCTCTCAGCCTCACTACTCCAGTGAAATTGCTCTTACTGAGGTCATCAATGAATCAGTTGCCGAATTGAATGAACTCTTCCCATTCTTTATACCACTTGTTTTTTCCATTATACTTTAATCCTTTGCTGCCTTTTACTAAAGAAACTCTTGCCTTCCTCCTACTTCTCTAGCTGCTTCTCAGTCTTTTTTTCAGGTTCTTCTTGCCCACTATCTAGATATTAATGTTCCTGAGCCTTGTGTTCCTCTTACCTTTTCACAGTACCTAGTCTTCATGGGCGACTTCAATTCATATTCACATCTCTATGTGCTTGAGCTCCACACCCATACAGTCACTTATTTACTAGTTATTATCCCTTGAACATTCTGCAGACAAATATACCCAAATAACTCAATCTTTGTTGTTCACTGTTGCCTTCTTTATTCTATAGCTTGGTGAGTGGCACTGTTGTCCACTTAGATAATGAAAATTTGTCCCCAAGCCCTCTCTTCTAATAGACTGTCACAATATCTTTTTGTTTCTATATCTCTCAAATCCCCCTTCTTTTAAACTGTAGGGCCACTACCTTCATTCAGACCCTAATCTATCTCTTATCTGGAGTTTTCAACACCCTCCTGGGATTACTCTGCCTGCATTCTAATCCTCCTCCAGTTTCCATATCTTTTACAGCTCTACCATGTTAGTATTCCCAAAATGGGTGACTTTCATTCTTTTACTTACTTGATCAAAAAGTTCGATGGCTCCTTATTACTGACAGAATACAACCCCCCTGCCTTTCCAGCCTTACCTCAGCTCCTCCCCTGCTTTCTATTGCAGCCATGTTGGTACATCCTTTCTGCATTTTTGTCTTTGCTTGTGCCATTTCTCTTGCCTGAGTGCTCATCCTCTTCCTGACCACGTATCTTGAATATTCCTCAGTGTTTAAGGCCCATCTTAGATTGTACTTCCCAGAATACTCCAGTCCACAATGATAACAGCCAACATTTTCAGAGCACCTTGCAGTTTACAAAATGCATCTGCCTAAGAATTCATCAGTACCAGCCTCATTTTATGCATGAGGAAACTGAAGCACAGAGAAGTTGAGTGACTTGCCAGAGGGTACATAGCTGTTAAGATACAGAGCCTGGGCCTACTCTTTATTCCACTCTCTCTGCTTTTACCTCAGTAGCCACTCCCTCTCTGACCTCACAGCACTGTGGTCTTCATCACCCCTTCAATCTTAATCACATACTGCATGTGATCAGGAGAAAGAGGGATCTTGAGAGGGGTAGGCAAGGTCTAAGAGAAGACCATCCTCTATTTGACATCAGAACTGGCTCATAGATACACAGGAGATGAGCTGAGTTACCTGGAAACTACCCTTGGGAAGATGATCTGTCAATGGAGGTAAGCTGGGCAGAGCCATGGGAATGGAAAGTAACCAGCTGTATTGTAACTAAGGCCTGGAGTGAGGACAAAGGCTGTATAAGGGGTGGAGGTAGGGTTCTGGTACATCCCTTCTGCTAGGACACTCCTGGATGGTTTGCCAGTTTCCTTGGTTATAGAGGAGCTACATCCCCTTTCTCAGGCCAACAAAGGGTCTCCCTGAGTGGACCCAGAACTCCATGTTGGGGGTCTGTGCTCACCTAACATTCTTCTCATCAATAGTTTCATCTCCAGGATAGAGGAAATGCCCTGGATGGTTGCCTGGCTCTGCTCTGGTTTTCTAACCAGCTCCCTCTTCTTCATAAGGCAACCATGTGACTTAAGCATACAGCTCATGTGGGGTTTGTTCAGTGTGAGTAAGTTTCCTGAGATTGATAAGCTCTGAGAGAGCAGACAAAGCTGCGTTTTATATCTGCAAAGATGAGTAGCAGCCAGACGTTTGGCATTAAGTGACCTCTCCCTCAACACTGGCACACAGGGCATGACCTTGAACATGATCATTGAGGGGTGGTATCTTTCTCTGTGACATCTCTTCTGAAGTAGAGCATGGCCTTATGACATCTCAGGCATCTGGGCTCCCTCAGAAAGTCAGGGCCTCAGAAAATACCTATTAAATGAATGGAAGGGAGATGATGCCAGGCAGCAGCAAGGTGAGGCAGGTAAATGAGGTGCTGGCTCTTTTGCTACCCCAAGCCTTTCTCCAGGTGGCCTTGGGAACACACTACCACACTGCAGAGGACCCTGGTGGTCCCTCTCGCTTTCTCTTCTCTCTGGGTTCCTGTATTTGTCATTGGTTCTTCAGACAACAACAACAGCATGGATGGATTCAGCCATGTTTTCTTGCCCTCCAAATGGAGGGCAAGATGTGGACATTTGGAAATAGTATGTTGCTTTCCTCTTTCAAGTAGAGGACCATTAGTTCACAATGGGAAGAGCCAGGATTTCTTCTCTTTTCTAAGTGAGAATTAGATACTCATAAATACAAATTTATTTCAGAAAGAGTTGAAAAGTATATATAATTAAAAAGACAGTACAGGCCATTAGTCTATAAACATATGAAAAATCCTAAACATCACTAATCACCAGGGAAATGCAAATCAAAACCACAGTGAGAGATCACCTAACCCCAGAGAGGATGGCTTTTATCAAAAAGTCCCAAAACAATAGGTGCCTACGTGGATGCAGAGAGATAGGAACACTTAAACACTGTTGGTGGGACTGTAAAATAGTGCAACCTGTATGGAAAATAGTGTGGAGATTCCTCAAAGAATTAAAAGTAGACCTACTGTTTGATCCAGCAATCCACTGCTGGATATTTACCCAAATGAAAAAAAAGTCATTTTATCAAAAAGACACCTGCACTAGAATGTTTATTGCAGCACAATTCACAATCACAAAGATATAGAATTAACCCAAGTGTCCATCAATTCATGAGTGGATTAATAAAATGTGATATATGTATACCATGGAGTACTACTCAGCTATAAAAAATGAATTAATACCTTTTGCAATAATCTGGATGGAACTGGAGAACATTCTCCTAAGTGAAATATCTAAAGAATGGAAAAACAAATACCACATGTACACACTATTAAATTGGAACTAACTGACCAGAACTCATGTGCATATCTGGAAGTAAAGCTCAACAGAAATCAGGTGAAAGGAGGTAGGAGGGGATGGGTGAAATCATACCTAATGGGTATAATATACACTATCTGGGTGATGGGAACACTTACAACTTTGACTCAAGCAGTAGAAAAGCAATCCGTGTAACCAAAACATTTGTACCCTCGTAATACTCTGAAATTTAAAGAAGTATAACTGTAGAGATCATGTAGAAATTTTAATATTACCTCCATTATATTTTTCCATGTAATATGTACATAGTAGGCAAACAGAAAATAACTAAATTGATTAGAAAGCACTGACACTTTTCTGTCACTGAGATCAGTTTCGCATCTTCCCCCTCCCCTGGCATTTTTTTTGTAGTAGCTATATGACTCCCTGATTCTCTGGAAGGAAAAGCCTGATATTTCATCACAGTTAATTCAGTAGAGATTAAATTTCAGGTATATGAATTTAATAAATTGGTATGTCATCAGAAAAAAAAGGAAAGACAGTACAATATTAAAGAAAACTCTGAAAAAATTTAAGTATAAACACCTCAAATCATTCCACCCTATAATGGTATTTTCATTTTGAATAATATCACCTTTCAGCTCTTGTCTACTTGGAGCCATAGCTGTCTGCAAAGTTGATGATCATAGTATATACATCCTTTTGTATTTTGCTGTTAATTTATTAACATGACATTTTTCTGTATCACTATCCAGCCATCATGATTATTTTTGACAGCTGAAGAGTAATTTATGTACTGTAATTTTTAAGCCATTTTCTTATGTATTTTGTTTTCAGTTTTTGTTCTTATTGTATTCTTTGCTGTTAGAGACAATGATACAGTGAACATTTGTGTGTGTATATATAATTTTTTCTTCTGATGAATTATGTTGTCTAGGACAAATTCTCAGGAGTGAGATTGCTGGATTATAGCCTATGAACATTATGATCCATTTTATGCTGCTATTTTTTTCCAGGTGATTTGTATCAATTTATGCATCAGCAATATGTACAGTTTCCAGTTTCATTTCAACTTCCCCGGGCTTGGGCTTTTTTTGTTTGCTTTTATCCCTAGTTTTTGATGTATGGCATTTAGGGGGAAATCCATAGGATCACAGCTGGGGCTTTCTTCAACACAAAGTAAAAATAATCTAATTTGAGGATTAGAGACTTTTAGGAGTCTTTCTTTTCTGTGTTTGATAGATTTTTTAAAAATATCATTGTACTACATGGCAATTGTATTTCTTAAAGCTTTGATGGAAGGAAGCTAACATGGAAAACTCTGCTGCCATTAAACTCAGAAAAGCAAAACATGAAGAGAGGAATGCTAGGATCTTTGAGAGCAGTTTATCCAATAACAAAAAAGAGGCACTTACATATTTGGGTGTTACTTTAATTTCAGAGGATAAAATTAGTGGAAAGAACACAGAAACTTGGGTTGATTTCCTAGTTCTCTGTTCATTAGCTGAATTTTATTGAATAGACAGCATATTCTCTTTGAATCGAAATTTTCTTGGCTATACGATGAAAAAAATAATGAGATTCATTCACTTATTTTACAAATATTTATTGAGTGTGTACTATGTTCCAACACTATGTGTAGGTGCCAGGCAAGTGAGGAGCAGGTAAAATTGTGAACAAGAAAGAGAAAGTTTTGCCCTAGGACTGTAAACAAGCAAACCAATAATATATCACATACAACATAGTCTAATAAAGAACAGGTGCTCTCTTATTACCTAGTGTTTCTCCCTCGTATTGTCTCCCTAAAGTGAGGATTATTTTTTATGATAATTTGTTCTGTAGTACCCATGTAAACAATCTTTGAAATTTTTACTCCCAATGTGATATAGAATGACATGTTCCATCGTTCCTTGGCAAGGTTAAAGAAATCGAGCAAAGTGCCAGGCATGGTGACTCATGTCTATAATCCCAGCTACATAGGAGGCTGAGGCAGGAGGATCACTTGAGCCCAGGAGTTCAAGGCTGCAGTGGGCTATAATCATGCCACTGTACTCCAGCCTGGGCAACAGAGTGAGACCCTGTTTTTAAAAGCAATTAAAAAAAAAAAGGAAGTCCTGTAAATATTTCCCTTTCCTTAGTTCCAGATATGGTAAGATGTTAAAAGGGGGTGGTTTGTGGCAAGATGGTATTATATGTGAGGATTTCTGCCCTTCCATACTTTCACTTTATGATTCATTTATTCCAGATTTCTCCATGACTTAAAACAGGTCATGGCCAGGCATGGTTGCTCACGCATGTAATGCCAGTACTTTGGGAGGGCGGAGGTATGAGGATTACTTGAGGCCAAGAGTTTTTGAGACGAGCCTAAGCAACATAGTGAGACCTTGTCTGTATAAAAAAATAAGAAAAATTAGCCAGGTATGGTGGCACAGGCCTATAGTCCCAGCTATTCTGGAGGCTGATGTGGAAGGATCATTTGAACCCAAGAGTTCAAGGTTACATACAGTGAGCTATGAGCACGCCACTGCACTAGACTAAGACCCTGTCTCTAAAATATTTTAAAAATACATAAAAAATAAAATAAGTCACAAGCTGATTGCTTCTGGTATATGTTGTTTAACTCATGGTGTTTTCTTATATTTTTTAAAATTTAATTATTAATAGTTGTCAGCATTTTAAAATTTAAATAAAAATATTAATTTTTGGTGTTTTGAAAAACTAAGATTTGGAAACAATGGGCCCACATTCTTTTAAGTGGAGCCCTTCACTTATATAGACTGCCTGGCCCTTGTAGACATTTGAATTTACTACCCCTGACTTAAGTACAAGTTTTGCAAATTTTACCCTCTATACTCTCCTAGGTCTCAGGAGATAGGAAGGAGAAGGAAAAGCTAAATTATAGTGAAAAGCAGCCAGAGGAAGAGGGGTAGAAATGGGGTCCTTTGACCTTCCCCCTTGTTCTTAGAACAGATACTCTTTGTTTGGATGTGCCCTTTTTTTTTTTTTTTTTTTTTTTTTTTTTTTTTGAGGCAGAGTTTCACTCCTACCCAGGCTAGAGTGCCATGGCATCAGCCTAGCTCACAGCAACCTCAAACTCCTGGGCTTAAGCAATCCTTCTGCCTCAGCCTCTTGGGTAGCTGGGACTACAGGCATGTGCCACCATGCCCGGCTAATTTTTTCTATGTATTTTTAGATGGCCAATTAATTTCTTTCTATTGTTAGTAGAGGCGGGGTCTCACTCTTGCTCAGGCTGGTTTTGAACTCCTGACCTTGAGTGGTCCACCCACCTTGGCCTCCCAGAGTGCTAGGATTATAGGCGTGAACCACCACGCCCAGCCTGGATGTGCCTTTTATTTAACTCTCTTGGAATTTTACTCTCTTGGAGTTTTACTTCAATTGCTCATCTTTTTTTAAATTTCAAAATATTAATTAAGGGGTACAAGTGTTTTTAATACATGGATATCTTGTATATTGCTTAAGTCAGGGCTTTTGATGTGCCCATCACCAGAATAGTGTTCATTGTACTCAAGAGGTAAGTTTTTGTCCCACCCTTCCGCTCTCTCCCCTTCTTGGTTTCTCATGTCCTTTATATCGCTTTGTGACCATGTGTACCCATCTGTTAGCTCCCACTTATTAGTGAGAACATATGGTGTTTGGTTTTCCATTCCTGAGATTCTTCACTTAGGATAATAGTCTCCAGTTCCATCCACGTTGCTGCAAACAGTTGTTCTTCTAAGACAGATATGAAATACCTATTTCTGTGTGCTCTTACCTTGTGTAGTGCTCACTGGTGGTAGAAAGCCATACCACCTTTCTGAATTCCCAGGATATTTGTTATGCAGTGTCTAATGCAGCAGTTCTCAAAGGGGATCTGTATACACTATGGGAGTCCCTGAGACCCTTTCAAGGGATCTACTAGGTCAAAACAATTTTCATAATAATATGAACAGGTTATTCGATATTTTCACTAGGTTGACATTTGTACTGATGGTGCCAAAGCAATGGTGTGTAAAACTGCTGTTGCTTTGGGCACCAAACTGGTACAAGTCATTGTATTCTTCACCACTAGTCATTTGCAATTAAAGAAAAAAAGAGCTACTTTAACTTAAGAATGTTCATGATGAATCAGTAAAAATTTTATTAAGTCTCAATTCTTGAATACATAGTTTTTTTGATATTCTGTGTGAAGAAATTGGAAATATGCAGAAAGTACTTCTGCTGTATATCAAAGTGAGAAACTGTACTTGTGCTATTGAGTTGTAAGCTAAACTAGCCTTTTTACTTTTTCATGGCACACCAGTTTTACATGAAAGAACCACTAACAGAAAAACTGGTTATTCAGGCTTGGGAATTTGGCAAATAGTTTCTCAAAGTGACAGTATTTGCTGCCAATAATAAAACTTAAGCTTTCAAGCAAAAATTAGAATTCTGGTAAACTCTCATGGAGTTTGACAGCTTCTCAATACTTAAAGAATTTCCTGATGAGATTAGAGGTGATATTGAAGAGTACCATTTTTTTTGTTATATAATAAAATGTGTCAATATCTGGAACATCTGCATAAGTCATTGATCCAATATTTTCCAGATGACCAATGCTTGGTATTATAAAATTATGCCTGGGTAAAACAGCAGTTCAAAGTCCAAGATGGATAAGTAGATTTTAATGAAACAGTAAGAAAAGTTCATTGATGTAGTTTTAGGTTCCAGATTACAACTAACATTTAAGAAACTACCACTTGTTGAATTTTGGTGTGGTATCAAAGAAGAATATCTATAATTATCTAATAAGGCTATTAAAATACTTCTGTTTTCTCCAACTGTATATCTCTGTGAGGCTGGATATACTGTAAACTAAACAACATATAACAGATTGACTAAGTAGGTATGGAAATCCACCTGTCTTCTATTAAGCCAGACATTAAAGAGATTTGCAAATATGAAAAAAGAATGTGTGATTCTTCCCACTAAATTAATTTTTTAATAGCTAATTTTTCCCAAAAGTATGTTATTCATGTTAACATGTAAAAATTAATTAATATTTTTATTTTATTTTTTTTTTCTTTTTTTTTTTTTTTACTAGAAAGATTGGGTGAGATAATTAATATTTTTAAATGTTCTCAGTTTTAATTTCTAATGTGGTAAAGAGCAGTTGACATTACCTACATAAACAAAATTTCTTTGGGGTCTTCAATAACTAAAAAATGTAAAGGAGTTCGAAGACCAAAAGTTTGAGAACCAGTGGTCTAATGGAATAAACTCAGCCATACTTAACCCTTCTAATAGAGACTACCCTCACCTCTGCTGGGACTGCTGCTATAGCCTCTTTCTGCCAAATAATTGTCCCTAGAGCCCCAGAAGGAATTAGAAGTGAAAGTCTACCCATTGCTTTATGTAGTGACACCTTTCTGGGCCCCAAGCAGCCTGGCCTCTCCCAGCCCCATTACCCTTCATTGTTAATAGGCTTAGCTCCCAAAGACTTCAGACTAGAGTGAATTCTTTTTCTCAAACTTGCATAATTACAGAGCCCCAGATTTAAATTAAATTTTTCATTTTGTTTCTTAAATAAGTATATATATAAACCTGAGTACAACTTCCTTTTGCTTTGAGTTCTAATACAATTATAAAACCAAGTACAGTTTACAAATTATAAAAAAGCTACAAAACCAAAATCATCAAATTAACAATGTTAATTTTGTTTAATATTAACAGTATTAATGTGTAGATGATGTTTTGCTAAACTAAATTAACACTGCAATTTAAATTCGGTGCTCACTTTTATGGCTTAGTTCAGCAAACATATGCCACAATAATGATAGATTGATTTCCCCAACTCCTTTCTCTATTCCAAGTACCATAAAACATTCATCATTATGTGCCACAATGTCATTTAGATTTCACATGGTAAGAATCCATGATTTATGTATTAAGTCTGCCCCTCTCTCTACTCATTAACCTAAGACAAGTAATATTGCTTGGTGTGTACTAGATCCTGAGCTCTGAACACTGCCCCTAAAATCTTGTAATGGCTATGTAGATGATCCATTCTAGAGCATGGTGCCATGGGCTTATAGTCCCACCTATTCAGGAGGCTGAGGCAGGAGGATCACTTGAGCCCAGGAGTTTGAGTCCATCCTGGGCAACGTAGTTATACCCTGTCTCAAAAATACAAAAAACAAAAACATAAGCTCTATTGTTATAATGAGGCACTAATTTAAAAAATTAACTGGGGAGAACTCATGAAAATATGCATATAGACCTCAGTTGAGAACATTTCAGTAGTTAAGAGTGTGGAGTTTGGAATCAGACTGCCCTGGTTTTGAATTTGAACTCTGTCATTTACCATCTGTCTTTGTGCATGAACCAACCTCTCTGAGCCTCAGTTTCCTCAACCTGTCCCTCATGTTTTTATTTAATTAGTAAAAATATCATAATCCCTATTTCCAAGGGTGATTGTAAAGATTAAAATAAAGTATATAAAGCACCTGGCATAAACTTGGCACTTAATAAATTTCCTTCCCTTTTCCAAGATTAAAACTTGGATCAAGCTTGTCTACCAATAAGGAGAGACATAGGTCTGGGATGCTTTTGAGGGCAAAGAAACTCTGTAAGAAACAACTTGGCAGACACCTCCAGGCTTTGTTTTCCATGGTGGAGTTGCTGTACTATCTTTTTGGGCCCAGATGAGTGGTTAAGTTGAGGCATGAGCCTCCAGCTCTAGGGAGGGACATGCCTAGACTGCTGAGCCTTTGTTTTCTCTGAAGCCTCTCTGGCCTATCCAGGAACTTCTGCCCCAAAGAAATAAATTATTCTGCTTTGTGTTTCATTTACAGCGAGTGGAGCTTGCTCGTTCTATGCGTTGCTTCATGCTTGAGGATATCAATGGAAAAGCTCCCGGCATGGAAACGGGCATGGGCGTGGACATGGGCATGAGCTTCATGGGACTGCCACAAGCTGACCAGAAACACTGTTCTAGGAATGGACAGATGGAAGCTATCGTACTGATATGCTCATTGTGCCGTCAGTACCTATCAAATGTGGGCTCTTGGCTTCTACCCTGCCAGCATTTGCTCTGTAAGGGTTGCTTCCAGGGCTTGATCCAGAAACTAGGACAGATTGCCAAGGCTCACCGGACTGTCCCAGATGGTAAGTACAAACACATCACAGGTTCACCTCCTTCGACATAGCAGGTCTTTTTCTGTTTTGTAGGAAGTGAATTTCAGGGGGAGAAATAATCATAATTTAAACACCCAGGGGACACTTGGGGCTGAAAGCAATTCTTTGGGGGAATCTCTGAGACAAAGCAAATCCTCTTGATGCCTAGTATATCTGTTGTGTAAGCTGCAACTTTTCATGTTTAGAATTTCCTTACTAAGAAGCCTGAGAAGGTTTTGATTCAAGGTTTGGCTGACTCCCCAGATGAAGAGGATTGTGTTCTGCCTCACTAAAACTCCAAGGCAGAGGAGGAATGGCTGGTCTCGTAGGGTTGGTCAGGAGCAGATTTTGAACAGAAGCACACTGACTAGTGAACCGTTCACTATTTAAGCTGCTGCCCAGCAGGGAGGAGCCTGTGTCTTGCTCCTGAATGTCAGGTTTCCTAGGAAACAATCGCAGTGAGAACTGTGAAGTCCTTGGAGGCAGGAACCAGGTCCCTTCATTTCGGTGTTTTAGCACAGGGCATGTAACAGAGCTACAGGGAGTATCTGTAGAATGTAATCATACAATGAAAAAGTCAAATAAGCTAGCAACACTTAGAAACATCATCATGGATCTTTTCTGTTTGTTTTGTTCTCTGCAGTATTTCAAAAGTGATTTGTAGCACAAATCTAGCTCTCTTTAAGGCATCATGGCATTGCAGTTAAGAGTGGGCTTTCGCTAGACTAGGAATTGGTGTACCCATGGCGATAAGCTTCTCCAGTAGAAACTGGGGGATTTTGGTTTAGGCTCTTTGGTGGTCATTCAGAGGAAGGTGATGGAGGCATCACGGTAGTCAGGATACCAAGAAACAAAATAAAGAAGCGTCGGGAACTGACTGTGGCAACGAAAACTTTAGAGGCTGGGTTGGAAATCAAGGAGGAAGAGAATAGTCTTGTTGGGACATTTGACTATAGGTTAGGGGCTGCTGCAGCACTGGCTGTAGGAAATGAGGTGAATACACTGAGTATATGCCCAACCTTCATGAAAGCCAACAGAGAAAGTGTCCTTTTGTGGGTGGCCTTGGCCAGGCCATTTCTGAGATAGATCTACAAAATCAGTTTAGCAGATTTGAAGAAGTTTCTGATGTCATCACACAGATAGGTGACCAAGGAAACCTATAGAAAATCTTTGCATGTTAACATCAAAGTAGCAGAAGCAGACCTGAAAAAAATGTAAGATTGCCATATATTTTCTGTAGTATTTGCCAGTTTGTGTCACTTAGAATAACTTTGGTCCTAAATCTAAATCTCAGCAGCCATTTTTAAGTCATCCAGAGGTACAACCATGATCAAGAGAACTCTGGTATCCTACAAATCAGCAGGTTTAGGTCCATACCATTTGGCATCAGCAGACAAATGGCAGCACATTACTAGTGGGTTTATTCAAAAACCGCTATTCTCAAATATTTTGGAAAAGGTACCAAACTTTCATAGAAACTGCTGGATACACATATCCCACTGCATATTATGCCATACTCCCCCTCCTCCATCTGTTCAGGGTAGCTAATCCTTATCACTAAATACCATTAAGGAGAGGGCTTTAGAATATACCCTTGTAAGACCATACCCTTGATTTTGTGAAATCGTTTGTCTATAAGTTTAGTAAAGCCAGCCGGGCATTGTGGCTCACACCTGTAATCCTGGCACTCTGGGAAGCTGAGGTGGGCGGATGGCTCAAGGTCAGGGGTTCCAAACCAGCCTGAGCCTGAGCAATAGCAAGACCCCGTCTCTACTGAAAAACAGAAAGCTATTAATTGGCCAACTAAAAATATATATAAAAAAATTTAGCCTGGCATGGTGGCGTGCATGCCTATAGTCCCAGCTACTTGGGAGGCTGAGGCAGGAGGATTGCTTGAGCCCAGGAGTTTGAGGTTGCTGTGGGCTAGGCTGATGCCATGGCACTCTAGCTCGGGCAATAGAGTGAGACTCTGTCTCCAAAAAAAAAAAAAAAAAAAAGTTAGTAAAGCCAGTGGTGTTCAGTGAAGAAAGAAGGGGAAATAATCCATATTGCCACTGATGCAATGATGTATTCTAACTATTTGGAGGCTGAAAAGTTAAAAGACACTGAAAAGTAAGTAAGGAGAACATGTTAATAGAGGAAGAGGGCCATCAGATTCTTTTATAATTTTATTTACAAAAAGACTGCTTTATTCTATTCTTCAGTGAGGAAGTACATGTGACGAATGTGAAGTTGTGGTTAAGAATACATCAGCTCGCCTATGTGACCTGTGGCAAGTGATTTAAACTTCTAAGCACCTGTTTGCTTATGTGATGAGTGACAAAATATAGTGCTTGCCTCATAATATTACTGTGAGGAATAAATTAAATGATACATTTGTGCTTAGTATATTGCATACTACCTGGAAAATTCTGATAGTGATTATTATTAAGGAAACTGATAGATATTCAGAAAAATCAACTGCTAGAGTATAGCAATTCAAATACAGTTCATTCATTTGCAGTTAATTCACTTGCAAGTTATACAGTAATAATTGGAATGAGGTGATAAATAAAAGTAAGGTGCTATAGGCCAGGCATATAGCTTATGCTTGTAATCCTAGTACTTTGGGAGACTGAGGCAGGAGAATTGCTTGAGGCCAGGAGTTCGAGACCACCCTGGGTAGCATAGCAAGACTCTGTCTCTGCAAAAATCAAAAAAAAAAGAAAAGAAAAACATTTGGACATTGAGTTCCCATTCCAGCAAGCAGCTGTACCTAAAAAAATAAATGGTAAAATGCTACAGGATTCCAAAGTGTCCTCTGATTTTCCCTGAAAAGATTACATTAATATTTCACAGTGACAGTGTGGGAAATAACAATGAAGTATTAAATAAATGTCACTTATTCAGAGGTTCCTGATGATTTATAAACAAATTACAAATAAATTTTGCTTTACAGTTTACAAATTTTGCCTCATTCCATTTACACATTTTGCCTCATTCCAATCTAATAACACTGTGAAATAGGGAGTATTTTAGTAAGTGGTCAATGTGAGACAGGTCCTATGCCTCTTTGCTCCAGATCTCATTTTCTTTCTTCTACTTCCTCTGTGTCTCTTTGTGATAAACAAGTCTAGTTTTCTTGGTACTAAATAATTAGAAAAAGCACATGCTGAAATATATTTTTCATTGGGTAATAATATACCCAGCTGTCTTCCAAGCTTGTGATCTACATTGTAGCCATTTGCTCAGGGGTGAATTCACACTCACCTAGAATACTGAACTGCTGGGGAGATTCTAGGGAGACTCTTTGAGGAAAGAACAAACAAACCTGAGCCATCAAGTGCAACTCTTTATTTATATTTTTTAATTAAAAATTTTAAATTGATACATAAAATGGTATATATTTATAGTGTACAACATGATGTTTTGAAAGTATAAGTACATTGTGGAATGACTCATCCAGCCAGTTAACATATTCATCACCTCATATAGTTATCATTTGTGTGGTGAGAACACTTTGCATCTATTCTCTTAGCATCTTTCAAGAATATACTATATATTAACCATAGTCATCATGCTGTACAATGGATCTCTTGAACTTATTCCTCCTATCTAACTGAACTTTTGTATTCTTTGACCAACATCTCCACAGCCAGTCCACCCCCAATCACTTAGCCCTTGGTAACCACCCTTCTAGTCTTTCCTTCTGTGAGATCCACTTTTTTAAATTCCACATGAGTGAGATCATATGGTATGTGTCTTTCTGGGCACAGATTATTTCACCTAACATAATGTGCTCCAGGTTCATTCATGTTGCCACAAATGGCAGGATTTCCTTTTTTAATGCCTGAATAATATTCCATTGTGCATATATACCACATGTTCTTTATCTATTCATTCATCAAGGGACACTGGGTCGATTCCATGTCTTGGCTATTGTGAATAATACTGCAGATATCTCTTTGATAAACTGATTTCACTTCCTTTGGATATACAGTAGGCCCCCCTTATCCGAGGTTTTGCTTTTCAAGTTTTCAGTTACCTGCAGTCAACCATGGTCCCAAAATGTTAAGATATTTTGAGAGAGAGAGAGAGAGAGAGAGACCACATTCACGTAGCTTTTATTACAGTATATTGTTATAATTATTCTATTTTATTATGTTACTGTTGTTAATCTCTTACTGTACCTAATTTATCAATTGAACTTTTTCATAGGTGTGTGTGTGTGTGTACATATATATATATATATATATATATATATATATATATATGAAAAACATAGTGCATATAGGGTTCAGTACTATCCACAGTTTCAGGCATCTCCTCCTGGGGGTATTCAAACATATCCTTCATAGATAAAGGGGACTACTGTATACCTAATAATGGGATTGCTGGACCAAAGGCAGATCTTTAATTCTTACAGCTACAGTCTAGTTGAGATTCTCCCAGCAATTAGAAAAATGGGTCTGCATCACATCTCAGGCTTTGAGGAGACCAGCTGGGCAAGATCTTCAAAAGCTAGTGATGGGGGGACCAGAGTAAAGCTAGGAGTGTGCTGAGTATGCAGTGCCTTAGCCATGCAGTGGAATGGCTTGAGCAGGGGTCCTCAAACTTTTAAACAGGGGGCCAGTTCATTGTCCCTCAGACTGTTGGAGGCCTGGACTATAGTTTAAAAAAAAACTATGAACAAATTCCTATGTGCACTGCACATATCTTATTTTGAAGTAAAAAAACAAATGGGAAAAACATCTGAATGTGGCCCGTGGGCCATAGTTTGAGGATGCCTGAGCTAGAGCTACAGACTGTGCAGAAAGGCTGGATATTGGAAATGGATCTACTCAGCCAATGAGAGTATCTACTTGGGGCTATTTGCTTTTAAGCCTAATTGAAAATGGTCCCAGCTAAAATTCTATCTGGACAATTGGCCATTGATTACCAAAGTGATACTTTAAATAAATATGGCAAGATTTGAAGAGAGCTAGCATCCCTGAAACTGACATGTACTGGCT